TCTCTTCCTCCACTTTATCTTCAGGCCAGAGAAACTGAAGGACAATTCTGTGGAGAATATAACCATCTCAAAAGGAAATATCTAAAGATATTGACTTTAGATGACAACCTAGATAGGTCATCTCACATTAGAGATTCTCAACTAGAGACATAGGCAATGTCTGGAAATAGTTTTGATTGTCACAAACCTGGTGGCGTGGGTGCTGTTGGCATCTCGTGGGTAGAGGCCAGGGATGTTGATAAGTACCCTACAAGGCACAGAAAAGCCTCCCACACCAGAGTATAACCCAGGGCACAATGTCAGTGGTGTCACTGCTGATAAATTCTGCCCTACATGAAATTCATGGTCAACTTGCCCATCAACAAAAGCAACGTTTCCAAAAGTCTCCTACTCTATTATGAGAGCAGAAAACAAAAACAATGGCCAGACAACTGGGGAGGACTTCTAACAAGGAGGATAGGGATGTAAACAAACAGATAAAAGCAACTGGAAAAAGGGTTTCCATGGGTGGCTTTGTTGGTTGTGTCTGACTCTTGATGTCAACTCAGGTCTTGATGTCAGGGTTGTGAGTTCAAGCCCCTTGTTGGGCTCTATGCTGGGCGTAGAGCCTCCTTAAAACAAAAAAAGCAACTGGGAAGAGACTCTGTAGGAGGAAGAAAACTCTAAAAAAACTATATTTGACTTCCACTTATGACCATGATTAGTGCGGACCAGATTTACCTTCCTGCTCTAAACAACTAGAAAACTGGAAAAGATTTAGAAAACTGTTTTCTAATATTGGATAACATACAACTCAGGACTTCCTTTCACATCTAAGTTCTGGATTTGACTTTTTTTTAAATTAAAGTTTTTTATTTAAATCAAGTATAGTTAACAGTGTTTTACTAGTTTCAGGTGTACACTATAGTGATTCAACAATTCTATACATTACTCAGTGCTCGTCAGGATAAGTGTACTCTTTGTGGATTCAACTTTTGTATATAGGGTCCAATTTGAATTTACTGAACAATTTCCCCACTGATTTACAAATGCCGCTTTTCCATACAGGGATTCATCTACTCCTGTCTCTCTGTTTCTGTCTTTGCTCTGGTACCATACTGTATTCTTCGCAATGCTGGAAACTCAAATCCATCTGTTTGATCTTGAAGTTGCTCAAACTACAAATCTATTAGCATGACGGAAAACCAAAAACCAAGAACACTATTGCCATCTGGCGGAGAGACCTACTATTACCACATCTGAACGAGACCTGCTGTGTCTCACCTCCTCACTCCCCCATTTAGTCAATGAGTCCTGAAAAATCTTCCTTTATCAGTTCTCTCTAATCTGTCCCTTCACTTCCATTCTCCTGGTACTTACACCTTAGTCTACTTCCTACTTTGCTAGGACTGTTGACTTTGAACCAGCCCCTCTCTTTAGTCACTATTCTTTCAGTATCTTCTTTGTTGCTATTGTCACACCTTACAATTTCACATTAATTTGATGGGTCCCTTACAAAGTTCTTGCTTATGAGAAAACATTTTGGAGCTAGTAACAGCAGTCTGACTAGGGACAAACAGAGAGCACAAAGTAGAGTCTTGGTAAATGTTAGCTGAATTGAAAAAAGTTATTTAGTACCATTTGTTCATTTGCCAAATTTATCTGGGAGGAGGCATAGGCACATGTTTCCAAACTTTTTTTTTTTATTCTGAAATACCAGACTGATGAAAAATTCACATGTGTAATTTTTCTGTGGGCTTTCCTAAAATATTTTTAATTGCAAAATACAAGACCCATATAAACAAAAATTCAGAGTTCTGCAAATGAGTGACTCTATGGATGATGTTGGGAGCCAGGGTTCTCCCTGAGGAAGAAGATACAATATGGAACCGGATAAGACAAGGAAGAACGCAGTAAGGCTGAATTGGAGGTGGAGGTATTAGTAAACTTGTGGTTTCTAGTATCTGTGTTTTTTAGCTCTTTCTTGAAGGCCCCTTTCTTGAAGAGAACTAGTTTCAATGGCAACCCAGCAGGGCCCAGACCTTAGCATCCAAACACCGTTCTCCACTAAGAGAAACTAGGGATTGTTGGAGAAAAGGCTGTCTCCCAGGCTGGGTAGGAAAAAAATATGATAAATTTGAAACATCTTGTGCTAGAAAGTAAGGAATTCTTCAAGAAAGAATGAGAACATGTCTAGAAGACCCACGAGCCACCTTGAAAGGTCTCCCACTGGCCAAATCTGGGACAACTTGACATTGGAACAAATGAGAGTTACAGACCTGAATAAAATAGCAATCCATGAATTCACGCTAAGTTGGAAGAAGAAAGCTTGTCCTTACCAGAGAATGTCAACTAGTAAATGTAAAAGGAATGACAGAATTGGAAAGCCATTTGGCAACTCTCAGGGTAACAATTAATTCAGCCAAGAAACATTATTGGATGCTAAAATTAGTATGTGGAAGTTTGCTGAGAAACAGAATATTTACAGTCTCAAAGTATCTCCCTACAAAATGCTTAACTTAATGGAAAAAAATATTAATTTTACAGTGAAGAAATCTAGCAGATACCACTTAAAACCAGTGATCCAAATTAACTCCTGGTAATAGAATAACCGACACCATAATGATATCCTGGTTCTTAGGAAATACACACTTAAGCATTTGTGGTAAAAGGGTATTGTATCTGTAACTAACACTCCAATGGTCAGGGGGAAAAAAGCATTTATTTATTTTTAGCATGATTTTTTAAAAAGATTTTTGCTTGACACAGAAACAGCCAGAGAGTGAACACAAGCAGGGTGAGTGGCAGAGGAAGAGGCAGGCTTCCTGCTGAGCAGGGAGCCTGATGCAGGGCTTGATCCCAGGACCCTGGGATCAGGGCCTGAGCTGAAGGTAGACACTTAATGACTGAGCCACCCAGGCGCCCCATTAAAAAAAAAAAAAAAAGGATTTATTCTATACAGATATCTATACTGATAAAGGGAAATCTCCCCCTTAGTGTCGGATGACAACTAGTTAATACAAAAAGAATGATGTAGTTAGAAAATCAGTTTTGTAAACATCACAGTGAAAAATGTTTTTCAGGTAAGAATCATCAAAGGGTGCTAAATCTACAAGGGGCAGGTTTATGAGGAATAGAATATCAGCATGGTCTCAAAAGTTTCTCCTCACAAATTATGTACTAATTGTGAAAGGAAAAATCATTACAGCACAGAAATTGGATGACCCAATTGTTCAAAATGGACATCAATATGGGGCAAAGGGATATTGCTGAGTCTGGATGTGACGCTGGGAGGCCACATCACTCATATAGCGTTTTAGCTCATACTGCATGACCCAAATCTAACCACGGGGAATCATCACAAAAATCCAAACTGAAGGAAAATCTCTAATTTAACTGTCCTGTATTCTTCAATAGATCACTACTACAAAAGACAAAGGCTGAAGAACCGTTCTAGAGGACAGAATCCTGAGAATCTAACATACGATCCTGGAGTAGATTCTGGAGCTGAAAAATAAAATTACCAATGGAACAACTGAAATTGGAATAGGGGCTATCAGTGAAAGCATTCTATCACTGTTAAATGCCTGAACTTGAGAACTGTATTAAGTGTGCTTTTTTTAATGAAGTCTATCTATAACACTGCAGGTGAAACGGTAGGTCTGCAATGTACTCTCAGATGGGTCAAGAAAAATATATAACAAGAGATAGAAGATGGTAAACCCAACATGAGAAACATAAAAAAAAAAAGTTTAAATGTAGAACAATGTAGGTTTCTTCTACTTAAAATTTCCAGAACATATACATATATGTGCATGTAAATACATATATTTCTAGGACACTGTAATTAGTAGTCTCTTGCTCCCCCAGGTAAGGGAAATAGAAGCTAAAATGTATCAGGTGGTACAAGGGCAAAACGGTTAAGACTTTTCTCAACGTTTAGTTCCATTCCACAGAGAAAACGGATTTTTTTTAATATGTGCACACAAGCTTCTGCACATGTGTAATTATATAATTTTGACGGCTGCATAATCTATGAATGAATGTACTTAAAGGTGTTCTATTGGTATTTGTTTCTAATATGTATATTTTAAATACAATGAGATTTTAAAAATTATGTTATTCATAATTTTTATATTTACTTTGATAAAGCTATTTGGCCTTAATTCTGTTATCTTAGTTTTTTGTTTTTGTTTTAGAGGTGGGGAGAGTGCTGGGGGCGGGGTGCAGAGGGAGAAGGAGAGAATCTTAAGCAGGATCCACTCCCAGCACAAAGCTGTCTCAGGGCTTGATTTCAGGACCCTGAGATCACAACCTGAGGTGAAACCAGGAGTTGGATGCTTAACTGACTGAGCTACCCAGGCATACCTTATAGTTTGTTTTTAACGCCTTCCTTTTAAAAAATATTTTATGCTCATGTTTTGTTTGGGCATTTTCCTCCTCATCTAACAACTCTTATTCAATTTATGGCATACTATGATTTCAATAATATGAAGATTTATAATACTTTGAGTCTATCTTGAGTATAATATTAATAAAAATCTTCATGGAGGAACTTGAGTCTGGCCAGGAGATCGTTTCTGGAAGTTATGCAAGGCATGAATATGAAATGTAAGTTGCAGAAGTCTAGATCCCATCTGATACCTGAGAAATGTTACTTTCCTAAAGCCGACCAACCCAATTTTAACGGATCTGGGCCACTCTCTAAGTGGATCCTATTATGGTTTCCTTGTGATGATTTAAATGAAAAATCCCTAATTGATTCAAGTACGAGGAGATACTTCCTGCTCTCAGAGCTATTTTTGTTATATTTTGGATCACCCTTATGATCTTTCTGGATAAGAATAACAATATATCTTAGAGAAACACTATTTGAAAAACCTTACAGATAAAGTTAAAACTTTAAATACTTTCCATAATAATTTTAAAACAAATAGAAAAGTAGTTATCTAGGTGCTGCCCAGACTAGTGAACATTACAGCCAGGACGGCTAGAGGTGATCCTAAGAACCGAAGGGCAAGATGTCTGCTTATGCCTTCTTTGTGCAGACATGCAGAGAACCTGAGACGAAAAACCCAGAGGTCCCTGTAAATTTTGCAGAATTTTCCAAGATGTGCTCTAAGAGGTGGAAGACAATATCTGGGAAAGAGAAGTCTAAATTTGATGAAATGGCAAAGGCAGATAAAGTGCGTTATGATCGGGAAGTGAAGGATTATGGACCAGCTAAGGGCAGCAAGGCGGAGGACCCTAATACCCCCAAAAGGCCACTATCTGGATTCTTCCGGTTCTGTTCAGAATTCCGCCCCAAGATCAAATCTACAAACCCTGGTATCTCTAATGGAGATGTGGCAAAGAAGCTGGGTGAGATCTGGAATAACTTAAGTGACACTGAAAAGCAACCTTACAACAGTAAGGCAGCGAAGCCTAAGATGTACGAGAAGGATGTCGCTGACTATAAGTCTAAAGGAAAGCTTGATGGTGCAAAGGATCCCAACACCCAACAAAGTTGCCCGGAAGGAAGTGGAAGAGGAAGATGAAGATGACAAGGAGGATCAAGAGGAGAAGATGGAGGAGGGAAGGAGGAGGAGGATGAATAAAAAAACCGTTGATCTGTTAAAAAAAAAAAAAAAAAGAAAGAAATGTAGTATCTATACCACATACATCATCATGTTATCTGTCCTACGTATTTTATCGTGATATGTATTTATACATATTGTGCTTGGCAACAGGAAATACGTTTTTGGTTTCCCATAGTAGGCTGCAAGTTTCAAAAGCAGAAGTCTTCAACCTCTAAAGGCAGCATAAGAAAAAACTCTTTGTTTGAACCTCAAAGTTGTCTTTTAGCAGTCTTTGTAGTATATAAAAGAAGAGTCAAGATGTTGATTTTGTTCTATTTATTTTTGGTGGATGGGGAGGGGAGGTAAAAAAAAAAAAAAGTTTGGGTTTTGCTTCAAGGAGCTTTCCTAAAGAGAAGTAACTCATTCATTACACATTCCCATGGATGAACACTGTTTTCTTGGCTTTAAACTTTTAGGACAGTTTGAATTCAAGGTAATGTGATAAAATGTACTTCTGAAATTCAGTGTATTCATTTGGACACATATGGGGTGACCCCTTGTGTTCTCATTCTCATACAAAAGGTACTGGCACTTTGACCTCAAGGACAAATAAAAGTATCATAAACACAACTTGTGATTTGGGTCTGGGCTAATGACTAAGGAACTATATAGCTGTAATGGTCTCCGATATTTCAATGCCCTGTGAACCTACAATTAATAAAGAGACTGCTGATTCTAAGAACTATGCCAACAACAAGGGAATGAAAGAAGAGTTATAAGTCTGATGCAAAGTTCAGAGCAAAATATCAATGATCTCCTCCTCACTTTTGCGATATCAATAAATAAAGTAGAGAGTGAGGATAAGAATTATATGAATAATGATAAAAACCATCTACAGAAATCAGAAAATATTTTTCATTAAACTTGCCGCTTATTCTAGTTCAACAAGTTGCCTGTGAGGAAAAGAACTCAGGCAGGAAACTAGTTACTTGCTGTTTAGAACTTCTTAAGAGCAAAAAATGAATACCAATCAACTTCCTTGGTTTAATATTATCTTATAACGTGTTATTTTGGAACTTGAACAACTGTGTTATGCCTTGAAAGTTGAAAGTGAAAAGTAAAATCACACAGAAAGCCAGAAATGTCATTAACACATCTACACAGATGTTTGCTTGTAGTTTTTGGTATCCAAAACCTTTTTTCCACACATTGCGCAGATGCCTAAAACAAACAAACAAACAAAACATGTAAGCAATCAAATCATAATACCGACTATTAAAACCAATCAAATACCAAGTATCAACAGTTTGCTTTATGTAAGTCATTCCCAAGGCTTAAAACGATAGTTAACAGCATGAGAAAAGAGAGAAAGAAAGCACAGACCTGTAACTACCAATTCCCAAGTTTTGTCTTGCCTTAGAAAAAAGAGCACTTGACAGCATCTGTGAAAGGCTACTCCTTTCCTGTGTTATCTAAGACAGTATCAAGAGTAGGCTCAATATGAATAGAAAAACGGTATTGAAAGAAACTTACCCTTTTTGTAGGCACAGCCCTGGCAATAATGAGAACCTGGTTGATGCACAGAACTTTTACAAATCCTGCAAGTGGAGAACTTATTCTTTCCATATGGATCGAATCTAGAGGTTTTTTTTTTTTTTTAAAGAGAAAGAAACAAATGTATAATAGAATAGAAACACTTAAATTAAATGACCTCCCTTAAGCAATGAATGGGATGAAACCATGCACTCTGTTCTCTGTCACACTCTCCAATTGCCAGGCACGGCACGCTTGCAGCTGGCCACTCTCCCCGCGCCTGCACACCCCTACCCCTTCCAGGGGACTTGTGTGCTGGTGAAGAGTCAGTTCCTTAATCCCAAACCCATTTCTATGAGTTGTAATTGTCAATCTATGTGTATGATACAGTTTCATATGATGGAAACTGATGAAATGTGGGTACAAAAAGCATGACCAATTCTATTAAAAACTACGAGAATTCTTTAGGATAGGCTGGGTCAGTGTGAATCACTGAACTGCTGCTGAATTACGGGCAAGATCGTAAGTGGAAGGACTCGGCACTTTGCAAGTCTGTCAGTTCTGGCTCCACTTTAAAGATACCAGAAATGTGCGTTCTGGTTATGATTTACGTGAGGAAAATGATGAAGAACTCTTATCAGTAGACTCAGACTCAAAAAGCCTGTCTCAGTGCCAAATGACTGATGAATGCATGTGCCGTTATGCGCTGTGACTTACAAGAAGGTACATGTACGTTTTAATAACTGCCTCCTTTAGCTGACATTTTCCATTAATTGATCCAATCCCTTTGTAGAAAAGAGTTTCTACTACGTAAGAGTGCTACCTTATAGTGCTTGGAGTAGAAAATAATTCCCCCTAAACTTGTCCTAACTTTTGTTAACAATACTCATATACCTAATACCAAGACTGTCCTAGACCTTGCTTCTTCTCTTGGGGTAGTAAAATACAACAGCTCATTTTCAAAGGTTAATTTCTCCAAACCCAACAGAATGTCACTTTACTCTGCACAAGGGAAGATAGACACTATTCTTCTTTTTAATAAGCTTAATTGGTGTGCATCCATATGGATGTTTTCTTTTGCTTCAAACCATATTTTATTCTAAGATGCACATTTTAGTATGTCTGAAATCTTACAGTTATTTGACAGAGACTTTTCTTTCTTAAAGCAATGATACATCTTCTAAATGTTGGTATCTGGGACACCTGAGTGGCTCAGTCGGTTAACATCTGCCTTCCGCTCAGGTGCTCGTGGGTCTCAGTCCCACACTGGGCTCCTTAATCAGCGGGGAGCCTGCCTTCTGCCTGCTGCTACCCCTGCTTGTGCTCTCTGTATCTCTCTCTCTCTGACAAACAAAATCTTTAAAATCAATCAAAAAATCAATCAATCAATCAATCAATGTTGGCATCTTAGATTCAATGTCATACAACAGTATGCTTTCCAATGTGAGACATTTAGAGTATCCAAAGTAATAGCTACTTATTAATGATACTGGAGTGAGGTTGGGAGCATGAAGGAACTGGAAGTATCTAAAACTGTACAATCTGTAAAAATTACAACTTAGTTCCTAATAACTGAACGGTCTTAGAAGATATCAGTAAGCCAGAGAAATACTTAAGTGTGATGCTCCACTGAAGATTAAGTCTTGTGTGCTGTTTTATATCCGTTATTTAATAAGTACCATTATGTACTTATGGTAGCCAGGCACTACAGGTAGTAAAAGCTTTATTATTATTATTATTATTTCTAATCCTTGGGGTAACGTCATGAAACAGGTATTTATTCATTCAGCAAATACGTGGTGAGTGCCTACTCTGTCCCTGTCACTATTTTACATACCAAAGATGAACCTGACAGACAAAGCTTCTGCCCTCCTCAAATTAACATTCTAGTAAGACAATAGATAAAAGACAGATAGTAAGTAAAGAAACAAACATGCTTTTCAGATAGTAATACATGTTGTAGAGAAAATTCAAACAGGACATTGTGGCAGACATGAGGGGAAGGAGGGAAGATATCAGTTCAAATGCCAGTTAGGGACCCACTCTGAGGAGGTGACATTTCAGATGAGATCCTAGTAACAAAAAGATGCCAGCCAGGTAAGCTCCGTGGGAAGAACTGTAGGAGGAGGGAGCAGCAAGCGCAAACCTCTTCCAGCGGGAATGGGCTTGGTCCAGCTGATGCAGGAGTTGCTACAAGGAAGTCAGAGAGGGAGGCCAGATTACGGAAAACCTTGTAAGAAAGTGGAAGGGAGGGGTTAGATCATATTCTGCATGAAAAGAAAAGCAAGGCAGGGTTCTGAGGAACCTTTAAAGGACCTTTATGTAACCTTTAAAAGACCACTCTGGCTACTATGAGACTGAACCATAAAGAACTAGAGAGGAAGGAGAAAGATGGAAGTTATTATGGCATCTAAGGAAGAAACACCAGTGGTTTGGAAGAGGGTAATAGCAGTGAGATGGACAGGAGGAGGCAGATGCAGGTTATATGCTGGTGGCAGTGCTAAAGAGCTTGCTGATAAAAGGGAAGTGAGGAAAAGAGAGGGATCAGTGCAGAATTCTAGCTCTTAGGCTCGAAGGGCTGGACTGGAGTGGTGTGATGATTACAAGACTGCAGGAACAGGTGCCTGTTAGACACCAAACTGGTAAGTCAAGTAGGCACTTGCATATATCTTTGGAGCTCAGAGAAGAAGTCTGATTTACAGTCATTAATAAATCTGATTTATAGTCATTATCTGATAATAAATAAATCTGATTTATAGTCATTAACATACTGTTTGAATTTAAAGCCTCTGGACTAAAGTCACTTGAGGAGAGAGTATACATTTATAAATAGAAAAAAAAGAGAAAGGTCTAGGATTGAGTCCAAAGGCACTTGACTGAGAAAGAATGGTGAATTGGGAGGAAGAAAGAGTATGGTACCCAAGAGCCAAGAGAACAGAAGGTTGCAGAGGCATCAGGTTGACTCAACCAGTGAAAAAAAGCGACTCTACTCTCCATCTCCAGGGCTGTGAGCTCAGGCCCCACACTGAAGGTAGAGCCTATTTAAAAATAAGAGAGAACAGAAGGTTGCAAAAATGAGAGCTGTTAAAAGATTAAGTAAGATAAGAATAGAGAAGTCCATCAGGTGTGAACTTGCTGAGAGCAGCTGCAGGGGTTTGGTGGGGCTGAAGGCCCCAGTGGAGTGGCTGAAATTGCAAATGAACTTCAGACACTGAGAAAGCATCTGAGAGTAAGGCTTTTGAAAACTTTTGCTGTGGAGGGAAGCAAAGAAATGGGAGCGGCAGCTAAAAGGATTCATGGAATTTTTAAAACTGAAAATAGTAAAGCATGGTGTCAAAAAGTGATTTTTAGGGTGGGAGACACTTTTATCTCCATTCTTAGATGAAAAAGTAAAGTTTAGAAAAGTCAAGAAATTGGCTTAATTTCCTGAAGGTCCCAGAGCTGGG